CCGCCATGTTGGTTCAGACTGAAGACTGGCTGAGACAGATGATCCCGGGAAATGCATTCACCATGAAAGGAACCAAAGCGGCCTTTCCTCTGATGCTTTTGCTCTGATTTGCCGCTACGAAATCGTCTCATCCCCCCCTTTTTTTCCATCCTTCATGAAAAGATGCCATTTCCTTCCCTCTGTGATTGCTGTGATGTTGAGTCACCCAGAGACTAATCCTGGATATAATAGCGATTAAGCTTTTCCCCAGTTTTTTTTTCAAGGTGCTATAATTTCTACAGCTCATAATCTTTTATCCCTTCTCAATACGGGAAGGTTGGCCGCTGTGACCTACACTCTCAGCCTCTATGAAGAAGCTATCTTCCTGCATAGAAAAAGAAGGTGAATTCAGATTAGCGAGCAGGAACTGGATCCTTTTTTAAATGTGGGATTACTTTTATTGTAGGAAGAAATAAAAGGAAAATCCAAAGTGACACGAGCCGTACTCTATATTGACTGTTTGCTAAACCCCTGCCAAGAGCAAAAGTATAATGGATTAAACAGTGCATTCATCTGCTCTGACCCGTGGTCTTTAGCATGTCTTGCTAACTAGTTTACCTACTGTTTAATTTAGAGTAACATTAGCAGCTCCGTTCTGCTCTTTACTGGACTTCGGGATGTTTACACTCCAGCAACTCCAGCAAACATTACCTGAGATAATGTATCAATCAATGTGTATATAGACAGATAGATAGATAGATAGATAGATAGAGATCTATGATAAAATAAATATGTCTTCTACATGGGTCATCAACTGGTGAAGATGCTCTGGGAACCAGACAGACAACGCTGTAGAAACATACACAGAATAGAGAGAGGGATGCATACAGTAGTCGACTTCATGATGTTGAGTCTATTTTTATGTATTTTCTGCCTCACAGAATACAATAGTTTCATAAATCAGCTACATTTTTTTTAATGTATGGTAGTTTAGCTGGGGTTCTTGCCCACTTGTGTGTGAAGGTGTTCTCCATCTTAAATGGTTAACTCCATCTTAAATGGTTAACTCCATCCCTCTACTGAGCCTTTGTATTTTAGGTAACGGGCACAGTCATTGACTTCATGAGTTTGAGTTCATAAAGTTCTGAAGTGATGAGTAATTATTTTTTTTACATTGAAAAAATCAAGGCCTTGCTGGTTAACACATTCCCAGCATGATTGGATGAAACTAATATAACTGCAGCTTTGGTCCATCAAAGCTTTTGTGAACCTTTCTGGATGAAAAAAACGAGATGGATAACTTGAAAGGGACCGTCCCGTCAGTACCGCGCTCCTTTTGTCGCCTGATGTTGTACAAATTCTCACAGATGATGCCAGTTTGTAGTTTGTTCAGCTCAAAACGCAGTTAATTAAACATTTCGCCCTGCTGTGTTTTGTGAATATGTGCGTGGGAGATTAATGAGATCAATTTCAGATTTGTGTAGGAGAGGGAATCAATGTCCCCAAAAGTCATACTGACAGGCAGATTAAGCACATCGGCCCAGCGGAGGGAAAAACACCATCATCTGCCCGTGGTTGTCTCTTTCTGTCTCTCATTCACTTTCTCTCATTTCTCACTACTCTGTCATTCACTCCCAATTCCGTGTACCGCAATTCAATACACTTCATTGGCATCAGTGGTACTTGAACGGTCCTGGTGGAGCATTTAAATGGAATTGGAATTCATCAAAACCAAAATCGAATCAGTCAAAATGTGTTAACTCGTGTGCGTTTTTGTGTATTTGTGTTTTCCACAGAGATCTGTGGTGCACATCACACATCCAGGATCAAATAAACAGTAATAATCAGCTGTAATGATTTCAAATTCTAATCTAAAGTGGACACGGTATGCTTGAGTACCAGTAAACCACTAAATAAATTTACAGTGCAAAAAGAGTCTTCACTTTACCCCATTTGTGGATGTTTTTCAGTGACTCTTGTTTTTTTCCTCCAAAGTAACAGATTATTGAGTCAAAACGTCTTCACCTTAATTATTTGTCACACCTTTGTTTTGGACTTTCATACCTGCCTGTAGGTTTTCCTCTTTTGATAGCCAGGATTTGTCGGCCCTTTCTCTTCTCTTCTCACTGTGGTGATTCAGGCTGGTTTTTTTGGTTACGGCCGGCTCTACTCTGTATAGCGACAGAGATAAAACTGCCTATTTGTATTCATGGCTTTAAATCTGATAGAAATTCACTTTTCTTTGTGTTAATGTGTTTGCTATCCGGGGTTCCAGACACACAGTTTCAATTTGGTACATTTTGTGTCTCTGTGGCTTGAGATTGTGAGGCAGCGCTGGTCTGGGGTTAATCCCTCATTTGCATGCTGGAGTTATTTGGTTGATCAGTCTGTTGACCCTCTGAGAGAGTTAAGTATTTTAGTCATCCATCTATTTTATTGGTTCGTACAAATTTATATTGAATGGAGCCACCATTCTTTTTTCTTTTTCTTTTTGTTGATACTTTTTTGCCAGGCTTGGCTGGGAATGGCAATGATGTTAGTCGGTCGGCCCATTAGTTTGGTCCAGACTGAAATATCTCAACAACTATTAAATGAATTGTAATGAAAATGTGTGCAGAATGAATGCTAATGAATCTGCTGACTTTCCCTTTTTGCACCATGCACCGTAACGTTAATGTCTCAACAACTATTGGGTGGATTGGCATTTAAATTTGATAGAGACATTCATCTCCCCCTCCGGATGATTTGCAATAACTCCAGTGGTTCCTTTGCTTTACATCTAGCGACATCATTAGGGGAACCTTTTGATTCGTCCAATACTTTGGTTTATGAATACATACCTAAAAACTAATGACATTTCCATCAGCCTCAGCTGTACTTTGTGTTTAGTGCTAATCAGCTAATGTTAGCACGCAAACACACTAAACTAAGATGGTGAACATGGACATATTTCAGTTCCATATATAAAGGCGTCTGTTTGAATTGCTCTGAATCAGATTTACAACAGATTCTGGCAGGCTTTTGTCATATTGACTGCCAGAATAAAAGTACCCTGAGGCATTTGAGCTGCAGGCGATGATGCAACAAGACATTCAGTGGTGTGTTATTATTACCACTGATGCTGCTCGTCGCCTAAACCAACTCACCTACACAGAAAAACTCAACATCTTTAATCTCTCTAAACCTCTTTTCATATGAACCCTAAAATCATATTCCCCCTGCAGTACAGTTCCTAACATTTCTTTGAGCATGTTTTGATTCTGCAAATGTTTGTTTTTTTCCCCTTCCTCTTCCTCCTGTTATGTCTCTCTTCTCTGCTCAGGCTTTAAGAACCATTTTGAATATGGGACCAGATTAGTAAAAGCATGCTAATGCTCAAGGACTTTCAAACCCGCCTCATCCCCTGAGATAAAACCTGAAATCCAGAGGTGAAAGAAGCAGGAAATTGGGGGAAAATTAATTTGTTGTTGCTGTGTTTTTCAGCACTATGAAATAACACAATTTGACTCGTATTTAAAGACTGACTGTATTCACTCTTTCCAGTATTTAAAGAAAAAAAACAATACATTTTATTACAATATATGTTTTGGTGCTATATATAACAGTCTCTTCACATATCACCTCGCAGATCTTTCCTAAATCCAAAGTTAGTGAGTCATCTCTCCTCATCCTCCAGTCGTCATCTGGTATGTTAATGCTTCTGGCTTCAACAGTCAATTTCATTCGGTTTTTCAATGCAGAAGTCTCCTCATACCAGCCGATGCTCCCTTCAGCTGTCTCATCAAACTCCTCTTGGCATTTTCCGTCCCGCTAAGGCCAAACCTCCCCTCCACCCTCAGTAACGGCAGATTTGAAATCCACACCAAGTTAAGCTCTGTCTTTCAAATGGAAGTAAAACACTTGACATTGTATAAGAAAAAAGACAGCTACTTGCAAAGTGCCTGGTTTTTCTTCCAACGGAATGTACATATGTACAAGTATTTAATATTTTGAATAATAAAAGCAAAAAATAAACTATTAATTCACAGTTATCATTTTTAATTGCAAGTGGGAAAACCTTCCTGTACTCAATAAGCCTGAGCTTCTAGTGTCATTCCTTTTTACCTGAATCTCTACAAAAAAACACTCAAGATTGCTTCAATATTACCATTTCAACAACATTCAAACATAAACTGACTCCAGATCCACTGCTTACTTGCATTCATTTTAACTGTTATTTGCACATGACCTTTTACCTTCACCTTGACTTTCAGCATACAGGCATTACAATAATACCCATGCTTATGTAAGACTGTGCATTTCAATGTGAGCCCACTAATGTTTACTTTGGGTCTAGACAAAGGTCAGTGCCGCGCTGCTCTTTAAAGCATGAGCAGTCTGAAAGCATTTAGGCCAACCAAAATTAAGCGTGATGAGATGAGAGGTCATGTGAAATGAGACTTCAAAGCATAATGTGACGAGGAAATTGCTGTGGGATTCATCAAAACAAAGACTTCATAGAGTAAAGTAATTCATGCAAGAAGACAGAAAACGGACGAGGAACAAAAAGCAAACTAATACGTTTATTCACATAAAATTGTACAGTAAATCAGTCTATTAGGCCTTGAAACTTCCTTGCAATTATTTTTTCTTAGAGTTGAATGACCAAATTCTGTGGAAGAACAAAACCACACAAGCCCTCTAGTGCTGTGTTTAAAGGCCAGAGACATTTATCAAGACAAACTATGGACTTGTAAATCAGGAAAAAGCCACACAACACCTCATCATTTATCCCGTGCTATTACTGAAGTCATTAAAGCTTCACTGAGTGAATCATTCACTGTGCGAATGGGTCTTGATCTCATATGCCGTGTGCTGAACTCTGCCTTTATCTCTGTGAGTATATAAGGATGTGCAACGTCGGTGGCCTCAAATGAAAAAGGGTGAAATGTGTGTCTCTCCACATAAGCGTGAGATAGAAAATCTGAACAGAATGAAGCAGGAAAACAGTTGTCACAATGATGTAATCCTTCCTGTTCTAGGTACCCTCTCCCAGAGCCAGGTCCACCCACTCCTGGCCTCCCTGCCTCTGCCAGGTCGACCCTTCCAGCCACAGACTCATGCACAGCTGGAGCACTTCCTGCCACTCAGGATCAACCGCTCCTCGCCGCTCAGCCTCTTCCCCAATTTTAGCACGGTAAGAAATCACATCACATTTCTAGTAAGCACACATGATGCTGAAGTGATTCCAGACCCAAACATAACCTTAATTCTTTCTTGAAACAGAAGGAAAGATAGAGTATTTAAAAGAAAAAAAAAAAAACGCTGATAAAATTGCAAAAATGCCCATATACAGTATATATATATATTCCATAAACAACTTGATTTTACTTAAAATGCACTTAGTAGCCATGCTATATAGGAAAATATTAATAGACTCAAAAATATACCTGCTTTTTTGTTTACAAGGTTACTTGCTTTTAAGGGAACCTGTTTGCATTACTCTCTAAATTCAAAAGGTATCACCGACTTGAAGCAAGACCACCATGTTCAAGATGTGTGCATTTGTGTTCTTAGATGGACCCAGTGCAGAAGGCAGTGATCAACCACACCTTCGGCGTGGCTCCAGTGCCCAAGAAGAAACCCATCATTTCCTGTAACATCTGTCACCTGCGCTTCAACTCCACCGTGAGTCGTTCCATCTTTTTCTCATATATCTCAGAGGAAAAAGTTTCTTCTCTTGAGCTCCCTCTGAGCTTTCCTCTGGTAAACTAAAATAAAACAAACGCTCAATGACTGGTTTGGATTTATTTTTAATTCACTGCAGGAAGGCGGAAAAATACCTTTGACCACTCTGCCTCTGTTTTCTGCATAATGTAGTCATCATCATCAACCTGTGATGCATTTTTATATATTTTAAATTGAAGTGTTGAATCAACAATATTTCATGTAATTCACTGTGAGACTCTCTTGATGTTTGCTGTCGAACAACCACATACTGTATTTGCAACATATTTAATGTTTTTTGCATCTTAATGGTTTAAAAACAATCTTGACGCAGGCTATTCTTCTTATCAGTCCAATCAGTATATTTATACAGTTTCTATTTACTTAAATGAACAGTGGGTTCATAGAAGGAAACCAGTCAGCTAGTTCTGTTGCTTTTTTCCTTCTTATCACACCTCCCCATTCATATGAATTAGGCTCCCACTCCTATGGACTTCGTTTATACATATTTGCATTTATATTGTTAGGAGGAACCTGGTTGAATGACAATGACTCTTCTTTTGTGAAAACTTGAAGAAAGCAGGACACTGGCGCGAGGACATTCTACTACCCTTACTTCCTCATCTGTCTCTTTCTCGCTCTGCTCTGTACTTTTGGACCAACAGTGATGCTGTAAGGAGTCTTTTTTTCTAGCTAACAGGCTCTCTCCTCCTCCCCTCTGTGTCACCTGCAGCTGAGCTGAGAGTGCTGGTTTACCCAGGAGTTGGATGCCAGGTTACAGGCAGGTACCAGGTCCCAGTAGGGGGCTGCGCTGAACGGGTGGAATTTGTACTTGACAGAGAAAATTGACTAAAGGAATAGTTCAGAATATTTCAAGTCTTTTCATATTTTATACTCACTGCTTGTGTAGTACATACAGAAGGTTTCCTTTTCACAGTCATTCATATTTTTTATTTTTTTGTATGAGACGAGAGCTTCAGGTTGCTATTCAAAGTTCAACGCAATTCTGAATCCACTGATACAAACTAGGATTACAAAGTTAAACCAACGCTAAAATTATTTCGAAGGTGATTGCATAGTAAGTCATGCTAAATTTGAGTGGTTATTTAAAACATTAACCATGTTTTCGCTGCTATGAAGAAGATATATGACCATAATCACCAAAGTCATAAGGGTTGACTTTCTGGGAGCCATGAATGTCTGTAACAAAATCCATGACAGTTGGACCAAGCAGCAACCTCAAGTTCTGAAAAGTGAAGCCAATGCAAGCCTAACACTTGGACTCTAAGTGCTTTATTGCACTGAATGAGGACTAAAAAATGTATGAAGACAAAGATGGATGGCTGTGAAAATGGTGTCTACTTATACTACGTAACCCACGATGTGCATAAAAAAAGCAATGGACTTGAAGACTTTATTCCTTTAAGGCTGCTAAACTCACTGAAAAAAAGCATGAAAGATTCAAGCCTGAAGGATCACACATGATATTCTAATTCTGCTGCCCTTTTGTGGAAAACAGTTGTTGCTCACTGTGTATGAAGAGTTTGGGCATCAGTGGTGTGGTGAGAATGCATAAAGCAGCTTGAATCAAAGTCAGCGGAGGCCAAGCAGTCCTGACAGTCTCCTTGAGGATCTTTGCCGTCCTGGGACACCTTTTCTACATGTTAATCTCTTGTGAAGTTAACTATGTTGGAACATAGTGAACACATACTACACTGCCTTGCCAGATAGTATGGTAGAATGCAGATGGGAGCAGACTCTTCCGTCTGACTCGGTTGTAATTCACGCTGAATGATTAGTGTGCACTGACATTCAACGTGGCCAAAGGGGCCGTTCACCCTTTGCTCAGCCCTGTGTCCCCCCCGCCACACACTTTGATCCATGGTGGTACCCTTTCTGTTTGTGTAGCAGCATAAGCTTAATGCAAAGTGTTGATGGGAGACTCCTCCCCCCCCCCACCACTTTATGCACAAAGTCACTAAAGGATCACCTCTGCACACTCAGCTCGGACGCTGTACAGTGTACAGTGTGTGCCTGGAAACTGGATAATTTGAGCGACGACAAATTATCCAACAGCCTCGTGTGAAGCTAGATACTTGAAGCCTTGTTACACTGTTCAAAACTCAGACTCTCTGTTGATTTAGTTGTGCACTTGTGTCCTTCATATACAGTACAGAAATGCACTAGTGTGGCAAAAAATGTGCGCTCTTAAAGGTCAAGGCTGGTTATCTTTTATGTTTTTGTTATTGTTAAGAAATCCCATCAAAAGAAGAAAACCAAGAATTCTATAATCTGTCCAACTTCCCTACTTTGTCTGTGGTACTTTTAAAAGGTTAAAATAACTTCCTTAAACAGCTGGTTACTGTCATTTTTACCGCCATATTGCTAAAACAGGGACTATTTTCAGAGGCTGATTAATACAGATTTGGCACTTTAATCAGTATTTTTTTTAGAACTAGCATGGTATATGTGTGATTGATTAAATTAGTTACTGTGTCCATGTTCATATAATGAAGGAACATGCAGTGTGGCTCATTTGTGTGTTTTTGGACAACAATAGAGGCTCTACGGCACAGGAAAGAAATACATCCGGCTACTCAGACTATACTACTAATTTAACTTCAGTAAGTTATAGGCCTATTTTACAGAGGACACTCTGACATGTCAGTCACAGTAAAGAAAAAGCACAGATGTAAATTATAAAATGAATGATGACATAATCCTATATAGCTGCTTCAGTTTCTCAGTCCTGGTGTTGTACATGCTGGCTCACTGTCACACTGTCACGGCTTACTGGGACACTTGAATAATATAATATTAGTAACACCTGTGCTGTTCCTACAATGACAATTAGAGATGTTTGTTGTGAATAAGGCCTATTTACCCTAATATATTTAATCATCAACAAACAGGTCTATTTAATCAAAGCACATGTTGTACCATTTATGTAAATATGACAAATAATATAAATAACTCACCAGCTTCCTTCAGGGCTTTTAACTGCCTCTCAGGTCTTCATCAGCAGATGGAGTTTGCTCATTTGTCATGAAGATGTTAATGAGTATATTAAGCCAAGCTGCCATATAACATATTGTGCAGATAAATATTGTTGTAGAAAATTAGAAACAAAGCAATCAACAAACTGCTACTTTATTTCTTTATTATTATTTACTTTATTGCCGTTTGTTTCCTGAAGCTAAGTAGAGCATATACAATGTATATATTTGCTGTGTTGTACGGAGATATTAATGTGTGTATGGATTACCAGATAAATGTTTTTTTGCTTCAGCTGTTTTGTTTCAGTCTTGGTGCACTTCTACTTGCTGGCTCTCGCTTTATCTACAACCATCCAGAGCCATTTTGGGCACTGCCCCAAATGTGTTTTCTCTCGCAACAGAGGTAGGCTCAGGGGGCATTTTGTGTTGCAGGATATGCACACAGGCCCTTTTGTGTCACAACGAATTAGTGGAAAGATGAGCCAGTGAGCTAAGAGGATGGTCATGAGATGCCATGAGCCCAAATGATGCTCATTTGTGCACAAACGTGACGGCGATGATGATCAAAATGGCGATGTGACTCTTCCTCCAAGTCAAATGCTCAATCGCATTATTTATCCCTAACTCCATGGATGCATGCGAAGCCAGAGAGATGGAACAGATGGAAAGATTACAGTTTACTGATTTCATGCTGTCCTTCATTAATTTAATCATGTCAGTGATTCGGTTCATACACTCTACACTGATTTTCTTCTCTGTTTGTTCTGCTCGTGTGTGTGTGTGTGTGTGTGTGTGTGTCATGGTCATGGTCAGACCCAGGCGGAGGCCCATTACAAAGGTCACAAACATGCTCGCAAGATGAAGGCCTTGGAGAATCGGAGGAACCGGAAGAAGAAGGGTCACAGTCCGACAACAACAGGAAAAGACAGGGGCCGAGGGAGGGGGATGATGGGAAGAGGAGCAGTGCCAATAGACTCCCATTTGAAAGACACAACGGGTATAAATCTTTCTGTATTTAAAGGCGCCCCATCCTCTGAGTAATAAGTGGTAATGGGAGAGACGTAAGCACTAGTCTTGGGTAGCTGCCACTCAGCTGGCTAATTACCAGCCATTACCTGTCCTGCTATCATTGGCTCTGTCAGATAGGTAATTACTCTCATCAAGCAAAGATGAGAAGCCTTAAAGAGATAGTATTTGAAGAGAGATGTAGTGGTGTTACTACTTTTAGTTTGATTTTAGCTGTAAATCAACAGTGGCTCAACACAACTCCCACTTAGTTTCTTGTTCCTATTACAACAACACATTTGTATTGTCACTTTGCTAATGGACATGCAAAGTGTGTAGAAAATTATGGAAAAGTGCTTTTCTTTAATGAATCAATTTATAGTTTCAGCTCTAAAAGTAAGCCAAGTTTCAAAATAGCCTTGCAAGTTACTTTGATGCCCAACGCAGATAGAAGACAAAGAAGAAATGCATCAAAGTCGATTCAAAGTAGATGAGGCATCTCAGGGCCGTGTGTGGGCGTTTTGGTTAGAATTTGGTCTTTGAAGGTATATTGAGAATAAACGTCTGAGGATCAGTTGTTGTGCTAGCTAGGATATGCCCTCCCTGTCCTTGTGCAGGTGACCAAGCTCTTTACTTGTCTCTGTAATTTCAACAAAAAAAACACTGTAAAACCTGCCATGTGCAACTTTTTATTGTTGATGTAAACTGCACTTTGGCTTGTGAAAATCCCCCCAAACTGCTCTTTAATTCCCAGACAAAATACTGTAGACATGAGTGTCCTAATTGGAAGCTACAGCCCTTGATCCGTTCCATATTCTTAATGTTATAGCTATTGGTTGTTCTGCACCATTGCCTACACAAGAGCTGCAGTGAGAGCAACAACTTTGCTGTCTTTTACTCACTTCGCTTCTCATTCTGCCTGAATTAAAAATGTCAGCCACTTCCTTTCTTTGCTCCGTCTAACGTTCCTTTTAATTACTGATCTCCCCCCTCCCATTTTGTTCCACAACCTATCAATTTCCGTCAAACCCCACAATGATAAGCTTGTTACGTTCAGCAGTTGCCATGGTTTTTGATTGATGGTGACAGAGAGAGCTGCAGCAGAGGGAGCGAACAATTGACAGAGAGATGGAGGAAGAATGATTGGGATGGCGGGAAAAAGAAGGAAAAAATACTAAAATTAAAGAGAGATGATAGAGCAGAAAAGAAAGTCGGGAAAATATAATAACAAGATTAAATAAAATAAAAAAATGAAAGGTCGTCTGCACAAAAAGACAGATAATATGAAGGAATAGAGGATTACATTAGTCAAGAAAAGTGTGTAGGATTCTTGTATCGTTGAGGCATTGTAAAACTGTGCATTAAACGTCATGAGTGATTTTTCTGATATTTTAGATGGCACACCCAGTTTTAGTAGCTAAACTAAACCAGCAGAAATCTTTGAATTTTCAATTCAACAGAACTTTATTTATACCTGTACAGGTAATTGTATGCTGCAGCTCTCCATCCAGATCAACAGGCGTGTTAATCACACAGCTAAAAACAACAAGCAAGTGCTAAAATCTTTATGAGCAGTATATAAACGTTTAAAAATGATTATAACATACTATAATGTAGTTGTAAGCACATATATATATGTTTATTAATGCAATTTCCAACAACTTCAACTCCTCCTGAGGGCACTTCAGGAGGCTGGTATACAAACAGATAATGAATGACATTACAGTAAAACACAACTGTAATAATACATTAGTGTTGTCTTATGAGAAGTTATAATTGTTGACAAATACTGCATAATATTAACGCTCATTATATACTATTACAGCCACATTATAGTGTGTCGTAAACTATTTTGTGAATGTTTATGTACTGCTTATGAACGCTAAATAGGGGGACTTAAAGTGAAGTGTTAACAAAAAACTTGATGTGTGTTCACTATGATAATATTGTCAAATACCCCAAATGTTTTCTTATCAGTAAATCACCACAAAATTGCATAAAATTCAAGCAGCTATAATAAATACTTTGTCATCCACATAATAATGCGACCTTCGTTTTTACTCTGATTCTTATCCAGATAAAATACAAAGAAAAATATCATATTATCAAACCAATTCTAAATGGGCTCATAGTGCAACTTCTATGTTTATTCATCCGTCCACAGGGTTAAGTGCTTCTTCCCAACCTGCACAGCAGCAACCAGAAAACATCCAGGAAAGTTTGCTGGCACCCACCACGCCCACACAGCCTTCATCCACAGACTCCTCTTCACTCCGTTCTCCTCAGCTCTCCCCACAGATGTCCCCTGGCACTCAGCTCAGTGATCTACCTTCAGACAGTCCACCTGTGGAAGGGTGCAGCCTGGCCACCGGTTCAGCCCCACACTCTGACCGTCAAGGGAGCGCCACGGGAGGTGAGGAGGAGGTGGTGAAGGTGGAAGAAGCTAAGGAGGCCAAGAGCGACAAAAAAACTTTTCACTGTCCTACGTGCAAAGTGACGCTCAATTCCAGCTCACAGTTGGAGTCTCACTGTAGTGGTATGTTCTAAAATACTACTGCTATTACTTATTAAAAGTTAGTAAGGTTATGAATCCGACATTCAGTTCTCCTCTTTGTTTGGCTGAATCAGGCTCTAAGCACAAACAGATGCTTGATGGTCACAACAGCAGCCAGTCACAACGCAGGGTCAAGATGACATCATCGCCCAGGCCCACCAGCCGAATTAAGCAGCGAATGAGCAACAAGACCAGAGCGGTTGTGGGTGTATCCAGCCAGCCGTTTCACTGTGAATTGTGCCAGGTGTCAGTCAACTCAGAGACACAGCTGAAGCAGGTAAGTGGGTTTATCCTGATATAAGAAATGTGACTAATTTTACTACTCACTAAACTGCTGACCACTGTATAAAATCTCAAAGTGTGGAATCCCTAACCTTTGTGCTTTGAGGGAAAACTACCCAGTTTGTTGGCTGTCCCGAATGAATCACTTTATATTCCTGTTCCCTTTTTAGCACATGAGCAGCAGGAGACACAAAGAGCATTTGGCTGGGAAGCCTGTCAAGGCGAAGTTCACACCCTATAATAAACTACAGTCCAGTGCTATCTTAGCGGTGAGAATTAGTTACACAGTCACACACACACAGGAACATTTGAAAGAAAATACGCAACACATACACACACTCAATAGATGCAAATGGTAAGCTCTGCCTCGCACATGTCAACATACTTGCAAGCCCAATGGCTGCTTAGTGATTGATACAAATAATATAGATATATAAATAACAACAAATGGCTTCTGTTTGTTAAGTGAAAACCACCACTTTGGTCCAGACTAAAATATCTCAACAATTATTGGATTGCCATTCAATTTTGTTCATGGTTCCCAGATTTAATGTGTCTAATCCAAATACCTGCACAACCAATGACGTTCTCATGTACCTTAGCTGTACTTAATATGTAATGCTAATTAGCAAATGTTAGCACGCTAAACTAAGATGTGAACATGGTAAACATTATGCATGCTTAACATCAGCCTGTTAGCATTTAACAGCTTGACTAGCATGGCTTTAGAGTCTTAGTTTTGTTTCGACTGAATGTGCCTCTTGTCTTTGCTGTCAGACTAAACTGGCCTTGCAGAAGCAGCTATCTAAGGCCCTGCCGGCAGGGTTCCTGACCAACCACCTCAATCGAGCTGCTTTGTGCGCCATGGCGCCTGGACCCTTGGCGCTACGGCTGCCGCCGTGTCCCACAGCCTTCATCCATGGTCCCCTGATCAGCCCCACACTCTTCAGGCCGGCCCCAGGACCTCTGAGGGTCACACATGCGCCTATTATCTTCTCTCCTTACTAGCAATGAGCCAAGCTAGGCTAGAGGACGTACAGTAGAGTGGATCTAACCTAGCCAAGTCTGGACTAGCAGAATAGATTAGCTTGGTCGCTGAGGACAAAGCATGGGACACCCTGAGGGATACCAGTACACTGTTATGCCATGATGGCAGCATATCAGCATGTCATGTTTGGCAGGCTCAAGTCATAAGAACCGTATGCACAATCCCCTGGTGTGGATTGAGATTTCAGTGCAGACTGACCAGTGAAGGATCATCGCTCAGCTGTTTTCCCTCAACAAACTTTTGAGTGCATGTTCCCCGGAGTCTGGACCCCTCTTGAAGCCATAAGGACAAAGATATTTTAGTTTTATTTATAGGACAATAATAGACTAATACACTAGAGTGTGTAAATGTTATGTGTTTGTTGGCAAAATTATTTTTATTTCAGAGCTTTCTAGTTGTACTCTGAGAACAAGTACAATACTTCATTCCTGCTTTAGTCTTCATAACCAAAATGTAGGAAATCCAGATTGAAAGTGGCTATTTCCATACAACCACCCTCCACCAATGAAAAAACAAATTCCGATTGTTGAGGATATTGCATCTCAACAATTGTATATCTTTACAGCCATTGTCTGATGTGAATGCCTTCTCTTTATTTTAGATGAATACATGTTTCTCTCTTGCTCTGTGTTACGAGGTGACAATCAACAAACACCCTGATATGATGCCAAGAATACTCGCCATATGGAGACAGACTACATACAGTATGATACAATGAGATGGTTTCATTTAAAGTTATTCGATTTATGTGGATAAAGACGAATTACAGCTTGATGCTGTTTGTGCAATATGAAGATACAGGATGTTGTGTGTTATTCCCCAAAATTTAAATGATTTATTCACAGATATTTAAATGCATCTTTGATGTCTTTATTAAAACGTTTTTTTTTCATAGAGCTGTATTAAAAGAACGTTCTTTAGAAATCCCCTCCCACCTTATTGTGCTGAATCATCCTAAGCAATATGTGTTTTTGAAGTGTCACCTGGTAAAATTAATGACAAGTGTAACTGTGCATCAATTGCAATAATGTAAATGATTATGTGCTAAAAATGTCGATACTGTATTCTATATGAACTTATAAATAGTCATGTTTTTTTTACACAGTTGTGGTGTTTCTTTCTTCATATGAAAAATTGAGTGCCTTACCATTAATTTTAAATATACAGTGAACACAAGCTTACTTCAGATATGAATATAGTTATAGACAAGGACACTGAAAGGTCTTTGATCAAGGCACACTCTCTAATAACTTGTATCCTCAGTATGATACTGTTATTATATCGCATGAATCAAAGGTCAGAGAATATAAATAGCCAAAGAAAAATATATACATTTATTTTGATCAAAATGAATCAAGTACAGTATATCGTATAAATAGTGGTGAGTCACTGAACTCCTGCAGATTTGAGATAGAACACTGACCTACTGATAACCACATGCACAGATACAAGCAAAGTGACACTTAACATCAATCCTTTCGCCAGACTGAAAACTATATGGTGTTTGAGTAAGAGAAGATGTAACACAAAACACAAAGTGGCTATTCCCCACACTGAGTATAACCCATACTTTGTGATACTCTTATGCCATCTAGTGGTGTTTTGTAAGAAAGAGCAAGATAAGATAACCTGTAGATAGGCAGGGAGATATCTGTGATATTTTTCTGCACTAATATACATTTATATCAATATAAAAACAAAAAGTTATGAATTTAAGTAGTTGCCATGCTTTTCATAATAATCAACGGTAGTACAAAAAAATGAAACGTCATCTAAGTATCTTTATTATTGATGCACCAACCCAAAATGTAGGTTTAGTTTGCTTGCTGGAGAGCTGATTCTGGATATACAGTGTTGGACATTAGCCTATATATGTACACAATTCGCAATAACATGTCCAATTGTTCATTTGTGAATCATTTTGGCCTTTAAATCCTGGCAGTAGCATCCTGGTCACCACAAATACATACAAGCATGTAGAGCTTCAAGGTGTCAGGTGAGATGACAGGTGGGTGTAAGTTCATGATTTAGTGGAAGAATGTAACGTGATACAAGCAGAAGTTTATGGGATGGTTTCAAATGGAGTTTGAGCCAGGCGAGGTTTGACGCAATAGCACATTACCGGTTATTTTTAGTCATTTTTTGTAACATCTATTTTTAGAATGCTAATGTATGCAAGATTTGATTAAATAAAATAAAAATATTTTAGATACAAGCCTTGCTTTGGGAAACTTAAATTTAAATATATGTTATATTTTTAAATGCAACGTTTTCCTTTTTTTGTCTGGCCTAGTTTCTCATGACCTCAAAAATAAGAAGAAGGAAAAAAAGCAATCACCGATTAGTCCCCGGAAATGACGTCGGTTCGTGTTCGTCCTTTCCAGCAAAAAATGGCAGCTGTTGACATCGACGTGCCGGTGGACACAGAAGCTCAAATCCGCAATCCGGAGGACATGGAACGGTAAACATAAAATTGTCCGCTGGGTTGTGTTTCGCTGCGCGTATAATGTGAAGATAACCCGGGATTCACTGACTGAACTCAACCGCCGTTAGCTGACAAAGGCTCCGAAACAACGGCGCGACCACCCCGGAGACGAGCTAACGAGGCTAGCTTTCCGGGGGAGAAACGGCACATTTAGAGTTGGCTAAATCTTAAGATTTTATTGGTTTTCATAAATGGCAGCCGGTGGCGTTCTTGTAGTTTCGATGGTTCACTTTAGAACCGCGAATTTGGGATTCTTCAAAGTCACTTCCCTTCACAGTGTATTCGTCAAGAGAACCTAGCTTAAGATAATCAGCGTGTCTTGAGACATGCTACAGCTAATTTACGGCTAACGTTATCCAACGAGCATTGTGTTGTGTGTCTCGTGAGTTAATTAACCTTTCTGTACGGACATATTTTAACATAAATAAAGAATTAGGTCAGTCTTTTGGTGGAAAGGTAAAAATCGGTGGGTTTCCCCTTTCTAGAAACTTCCATAAGAGGCTGACGGACAGAATTATAGTTTTATACTTGGTGCTCCAACAATCAGATAAAGTAATTTATTTAGTGAATCATCTAAAACGTGCTCAGGTATTTAAACGTCCGCGTTGTGTTCGGGTTTATCTCATATTAATTCAGCTCCCCCTAATTCAGCTGTGTTATATACGTAACGTTAAGTGTGTAAACGTAGTTTGAGATTGAAATAATCCAAAATACCAGAATGAGTGAATTTATGCCAATGTATTAAAAATGAGTCTGTGTACAGGAAAATTAATAAGGAAAATAAACTGCGGGTGTCGGCGTCACATTTGTTACCAAAATGTTGAATTTAGAGTTGGTTTGATAACTAAAATTCAACTGTAGGATCAATAGCGTTTAGTAGCTAAAGATACATTTAAGCTCCCTAAGCCTGCAAAATGTAAGGAGTTTGGTGATAATATTCGACAATTTTTTTTTTTAAATAAATCTGAAATATTATATATTGGTAATCCTGAACTAGACGGAACCTGTTAACAACAATTTGAGCTGTCCAAATTCAAAATATTTCCAAATGACAATGATCCATTAGGCTTCTAATACAAATGTCTCTTTGCTGGTGCCTTTTTAGTCTTTATTGGGTTTATTTGCACTTGTATAACATTTGAAGTAAGTACTGTGGTTTCACTATTCACCACCTAAACCTGAGCCGCCTGCTACCTTCAATATTTGAACTATTTATACATATTTGACTTGAATTCTAGTCTCAAGTTTTGTACAAAACAAAAGTATTTTGTGAATATTATATTCCATGTCTGCTAATATATTTCCCAATATCCTACACACTGGACCTTTAATTCCTCTACAGGCATTTATAGCACGTTTTTAAATTGTATTTATTTATCATGCCCGCAGCATGTGATGTTAACATATGTTTAAGAGAATACTCTATTTAGCTTGTACATCTTTTACAAATCTAATCCTTAAAGCAGCTGTGTGGCCTAACTGCAATAGACCCGCATCGCAGATATTTTTTGCCTAAGAGTCGGATTTTCTTCTATACACAACCTTAGTTACAATTGAAAACACTGACTGATGTCACTGACTGGTGTGGCCCCGATAGCAACACTTTAAAATGTGAATCAGAGTTCGTCTACCATTTAACACATGGCACGAAAGTTAACTTTTAACTATTAGTGCTGCAGTAAAGCAGTCATATTCTGTACATCTTGGCTCGTGGAGGGCTTTTATTGGTTGAGTGATTTATCGCATACAAGTTTTTTTTCCATATTGTGTCTTCTAACTACTGACATCTTGGTAAAGCATCTGTTCCACCCTGACTTTGGTTTCTGTTTTTCCTCTCTGCAGTCAGGCTGAAGGCTTCAAAGAGCAAGGAAATGCATTCTACAGCCAGAAGGATTACTCTGAGGCTTTCAACTATTATACTAAGGCCATAGGTGAGGTTACCACTAATTACTCTTTACCTGTTGTCCAATCTTTGTACATACTCTCCTGTTGAGAAATGCCGATGGTCTCCTCTTGTGACACCTCTCCCAGCAAAACAAATAACAATAAATAATTGAGTCAAGAAATGCTCCCTCAATGTACCTAAAAACGTTATCGGGACCATCTTGACTTCTGCCATTTGTATGGACTTGCAATATAATTGCAGTATTCATTAGTACCCACATCTCAGCTTGCCTGTATGACATGGGGTTTTCTTTCTTTCATCTCAAGATGTGAGCCCCAAAACTGCCAGTTATTATGGCAACAGGGCAGCCACCCTCATGATGCTCTTTCGCTTTCGTGAGGCCCTAGAAGATTCCCAGCAGGCTGTGCGGCTGGATGACTGTTTCATGAAGGTCGGTTTGAACATCACCTTCATTCTCATAATTGCCCGCCACTTATTGTCTCAACCCCCCCCCCCCCGACCTGCAGAAGCGTGCACAACATGTTGAGGTTTTTTCTGTACACGGTCCTAAGAAGGTAATGTGCTCCTCCTGTCCCACAGGGTCATCTACGTGAGGGCAAATGCCACTTGTCGTTGGGAAATGCCATGGCGGCTAATCGCTGCTTTCAGAAGGTTTTGGAGTTGGAGCCCAGCAACAGAGAGGCCCAGCAGGAGGTGGGGATCACCTGAACTGTTCACAATGTATTTAATGTATTAACTGTATAAGAGTGCCTTGAATTACATACTAAGCACAAACTTGGAGCGAAAGTCTGAATCCTGCAACTCAAGCTGGTCTGTTAATATTTGAAATAAAGTGTTGATGGATAATTGTTGTTATATTTCAGAATAAGACTGCAGCGACTCTACTGGAGTACCAAAGAATGGCGGATGTTGGCTTTGAAAAGCGGGATTTCAGAACGGTACTTTACACCCTTTCTCTTTTTTTCACCAATCTCTCAAACAACACAGCTCCATCTTAGCTGTCATGTGATCAGTTGTTAGTATAGGCAACATCTAATGTAATTTATGAACGTTCACGAATGAATGTGAAGCTAGAGTGTAACAGGTACAGTGAAGCGTTTCTTGTTCTGATCCAGGTGGTGTACTGCATGGACCGGGCCTTGGCTGTGTCTTCTGCCTGCCACCGCTTCAAAATCATCAAGGCCGAGTGTCTGGCTCTGCTGGGACGCTATCCAGAAGCCCAGTCCGTGGCAAGGTAGGAACAACTGGTGGTAGGTTCATGGTGTGTGTGGTAGTTTGGTTACAGGGATGCAAAAGTTCATTCATTTTAAGATTTAAAAAATGAGTACAGAGTCTGCTTTATTAGCTGTCCAGTAAGAAGGATGGATTTTATTAACGGATTCTTCTCTTTTAACAAAACTTTCTTTTCCAGTGATATCTTGCGAATGGATTCGACTAACGCAGACGCGCTCTACGTCCGAGGCCTGTGTCTCTACTACGAGGACTGCATTGATAAAGCTGTTCAGTTCTTTGTCCAGGCTCTGCGCATGGCACCTGACCACGAAAAAGCCCGGCTAGCCTGCAGGGTAAGAGGATCATATTGTCCTCTTATTTCTCATTTCATTGGAAGAAGAAATAAACATGCATGCGGCTGACAGAGGGTGGCAAATATACAGGAACTGTGATAACATAATTTGTACGGGATTTTTTTATTTTAGACTAGTATTTTGAAGCACTGCAAGTGTGAGTAAATGTTTGGAAAATAAATAAAAAATGGGATTGACTTGTTCTTTTCCCAAATCAGAATGCCAAAGCCTTAAAAGCCAAGAAGGAGGAGGGCAACCAGGCATTTAAGACCTGCAACTATGAAGCCGCCTACAAGCTGTATACTGAGGCCCTGACGATAGACCCCAACAACATCAAGACCAATGCTAAACTCTACTGCAACAGAGCCACCGCAGGATTAAAGGTACCAGTCGGAGGCATTCATCAGTCATGTGGTCTGATTATTTGCCACAAAATTGCAGCCTTCCACAGTGCTCGTGCTTTTCTAGCCCTTTAATGGGTTCACTGTCATTGACCTGTTACTCATCAACAGCTGAAGAAACTTAATGAAGCCATTGAAGACTGCAGCAGTGCAATCAAGCTAGATGACACTTACATCAAGGCCTACTTAAGAAGAGCTCAGTGGTATGCTACCCAGTCAATATGAGTTAATTTCTCCTAATTTGTGTGTTCAGCATTGAGCAGTTTTCGAGTGACTTTGTCTGCCCCGTAGTTACACGAACACAGAGCAGTATGAGGAAGCTGTACGGGACTATGAAAAAGTTTACCAGACGGAAAAAACATCAGGTAAGCTCTCTTTTTCTTCTTCTTTGTTTGCCTTTATCCTAACTGATACTCTAGCTGGTCAAGTTTTTCCACACACTCACATTTTGTATTCCTCTAGAGCACAAGCATCTGCTGAAGACTGCTCAGCTGGAGCTGAAGAAGAGCAAGAGGAAAGATTACTACAAGGTGCTGGGGGTCGGCAAGAACGCCACCGAGGAGGAGATCAAAAAAGCCTACCGCAAACGGGCCCTCATGCATCACCCAGGTAGGCCTGTCGGCCTTCGCACAGACATGCAGGGAACCAACTTTGATTACATTTCATGGTTATTTATCTGAATTGTATTGTGGTGTTGCAGACCGCCATAGTGCAGCGACTCCAGAAGTGCAGAAGGAGGAGGAAAAGAAATTCAAGGAGGTTGGCGAGGCCTTCACTGTGCTCTCCGACCCGAAGAAGAAGATGCGCTACGACAGTGGACATGACCTGGAGGATGAAGGCTCCTTTGATGGCGGAGGTAAATGCTTTACGGTTATTCTGGTCTTTGGTCAGATTTACATTCAACCTGCAGGTCATTAGTGGGATGAGAGGGAACATTTTCACACTTTTTATTTTAAAGAAATGCATTTCAAAACGTGGTGATATGCTTCTTTAGAAAGTCAACTATTGGGTGCTTTTAAAGAATAGAAAGACTCTTCATTGATGACTGAATAGAGCTTTTTCACTGCAGACATTTTGAAATGTAAATAATAACTTCAATCTGGTTAATTGTCAAAATGGCATAAAATAGGCCACAATACTCTACACAGATCCATGTCACTATCATGACATGGATCATAACTTTTAAGCACTACACTGAAGTCAATGAGCCTAAATAATCCAACTGTATCTATAACTTCTAGTGGTTCCTGTTTTCTCTCTGTAGTGTACATACACACACTCATAAAATGCGTGTACAGTCTGTCAAATGCTTTGTCTTCCATCTTGTTTTTCCAGAAGCTCTTCATGACCAGCTAACTCCAATATATTTGCATTTTCTTTTTTTCCCCAGATTTTGATGCAAACAACATCTTCAGGGCTTTCTTCGGTGGCCACGGTGGTGGAGGAGGAGGAGGACATGGAGGAGGAGGACATGGAGGAGGATTTAGTTTTGATTCCAGTCCAGGTATTTAGACATCGTTTAGTTTATTTAAGAACAGGAACATTGATCAAAGTTTATGATATTAACGTAAATCTTTTTTTCTCCTTTTCCCCCAAAAGACTCTGGGCCTGGAAATTTCTTTTTCCAATTTGGCTAAAGTGAAGGATCATGTGGGGAAAAATGCAGCACTGCAGTGGAAAAAAATAAAGTTGGACCCACAGTCACCTCCTGATGCTCATCCTCCTGAGTGTCTTGCAAAACCTCCCCAATATTATTTTCAAGTGGTTTTTGATTATTGCATTCACTCCTAAATTTACTCAAAAACAGTGGGAATGATAATTCAGAGACTTTAGTGAAGAATTAACATTGTAAATAAAGAAGTGCTTAAGAAGTCTTTTTTGTTTTTTAAAGAGGTTTGGATCAGCTGATCTCAGAGCATGTCCCTGTTGCCAAAATCTAAATATTAGATTAAAATAAATCTTATAAAACTGCCTCAACCTTCATAAAGGTGACTAGTTGTAAGAAATGCATTGGAAGTTTAAGCATCATGGTTGATTAGTTTTAGAAGGCATAACATGGCATCCGTTTTTATGGTTCTCCTGGGACAGCATGTCTCTATAGAGCAAGAGTCAATGTACTGTGGAAGTTCAATGTCAAAACTGACCTCAGGACAGCCCGTTTAGGACAACGCAGGTCTGTTGCGAGTGTTGTGTTCAGGTTTTATTGGCTCATTTGCCAAATATAGAATCAATGTGCAGGGTTTTCGTTTCTTCTCCATGCTGCATTGTATATGACTCGAATGTAAAGTGTTTTGTGTCCATAAATTGTTTTCCTCCTTCAGTCTTCCCTCGGTCTTTATATTTATTGTACTGTATATTCTAACCTGTGTACAGTCGAATGCCAGTGTTCATTGTCTTCCTCCTTTTTTTTTCTTTTTTTTTTTCAAGAGACTCATTTCTAAATATTTTCCTCTTTGTTCTCACATTGTACAATGTGTTTTGTTTTTTTCTGAAACAGGCCAAAATCAGCACACACAGCACCTACACATTTCCTTCTCTTGAAAGCACCGACCACACATCTGTCCCAGTCAAAGTCAAGTGGTGCCTTACCAGAATCCATCAACCTTCTTGCAGTAAAACCTAAATCAAAAGCCGTAGAGCACGTCCTATTCGCTAAAGGCAGCAGCTACACTTGTATGTTTTTATGCACTTATGCAGGACTTTTTTCATATCTGCCCAGTGACTGAAATTTAAATTGGCAAGTGAATTCTTTATCCCATCAAACACGACTGAATTCCACGTCGTGGAGCACACCTAGCTGTCATCCATCCATACTTGTCATACACGCGCCATCAGTGCAGCCCCTCCCCTACTTTTTCCACCTGTTTTAAAAGGGCACTGGTGGTATGTTGGAAGCTTCTATTAACTGTTCTCTCACTGATCTATGTATCATTTTTAAAACTTGTCACAGTATTAACGATACGCTTTTCTTATCGCGAAAAATAAAGGCTCGTCTTTTGCTGTAATATTGGACTTTTCTTTCCTTAAATTTACTATAATTAACTCAGTATTTTAATGTCTCATATTCTAAAAAGTGAATTTTTTTTTGCTTTGTTTCTAATAGGTGCAATACAGAAAAGGTTATAATTTCCTGGAATTGGGGGCGTTACTTTTTGACCAGCGCTTATTTGAAATATTGCTGTTTTTATAGTGATTTTTTTCAGGTGGATTCTTATTATAAAGCTGTGGGCGTACCTGACATCACCACGTGACCTTATTTAAACCAATCAGGCGCCGGCAAACTACGCGTAATCGGTCGCCAGATTATGGTGCGACAGGGTTGGAGTGAGGTGGCGACTGACAGCAGCAGACCCAGGGCAACAAGGATAACTCTTTAGTGTGTCGTTTTCGACCGAGACGCGACTCCTTTACTTCGAGGAGGTGCTACTTTCATTGACGAGGTAACTAAATCCTTTTTTAAACTCCAACCTTTAGCTAGCTAGCTTCTCCAGATAACCGTTAGCATTGTTTGCAGCAATGTGATTGTGCAGCAGTTAGCCCCTCAGTCAGGACTTCCAGGTTAGCCGATGCTGTGAGGTTTGTCTGCTGAAACTTACAGACGCTGGCATCCTACCAGAGTTTCCTACATCGTTTTCCTTAGCTAGCTGTTCATCTTGAAAACATAGTTTGAATAGATGTAACTGGCTCATCACTCAGCAGGCTAACTTAAACCATCATCTATAGATTGTTATTTCCTGTCACATCTCACTCCGTAGGTTTCGCCACACCTACTAGCATCTGTCCACTTCGTTTCCTCTAGGAAGTTGTACCTTTGTTTACCCACAGTGTGCTTGGCTAGCAAATTAAAGACTGAGGAGTGGGTGTGGTAGCTGCTACAGTAGCTTCATTGACGCACATGACGGTAGTTTGCACAGGGAAAGTGATGCCAGAGCACTGCCAGGCTCATCAAACAGCAGCTGTGTGTCTGAAGCAGCTAACGTTAGTTCACCCTTTTTCTGGCCCCCTTGTGATGCTGCTACCTCCAGATCCAGTTTCCTACATGTGGAGGAGTATGTACAGTGGCACATATTTCACGGCTAGATGGCTTCAAACAATGACCCAAGGATTATGGCTGGCTAAATACTGGGACATCTGGCTCTGAAAGCATGACAGGATAGCGTGCTAAGCTAAATCCTAGCTAGTCCCCCCCCAGGGTTAGATGTCGCAAGCATTTTACAGACTTTCTGTGTTGAAGTGCTGCAGCTGATGCAGAAGCTGTGGCCATAAAGCCATTGCTAGTATTTCAAAAGCTGTCTTAAAACCCACCATAAAAATGTTATCAGTTACACAATGGCAGATGAGATGAGATGCATGCCATCAAGGCTCACTACTAATCTTGACTGTGTATTTGTTTGTAGCGCTGATCTTAAAGGTGGTTCATGGACCTGTTGGGGCTGTTCCACACACTGGAACCGTAGTTGTGCTTTGTGTTGGCTGAGCAGGTTTTACAACATGCAGCGATGTTTGAAACAAGACTGTCGAGAATGTCAGGGCAACTTTTTGATGTCTCGTTGACTGTATTGGATAGATAGTCAAACTAGCCTTAAGCTAATGGTTTACCTGTCTTTGTAAAACATTACTGTGTGATTGGGTTATTGATTCAATGAGCTATACTGATAGTAAAACATAGCATGTGCACAAACCCTGGATTCGTTTAGCAGGATTTCATATTTTTCAACAGGCATGTAATAACCCCATCTAGGTGGAAAATCATAATTATCTTTGCCTGTAGCTCCTTGGTGCTCAAGTTGCAACATGATGTTTTTTTTTTGTTTCTTTTTAATCCATCAATATATAAAAACACGTGATGATGATGTAACTCTGTGAACTGTTGGCTTCTCTCTCTAAAAGGTCCTGTGCTTACTGGAGCTGCCATGTCGGCGAAAGCCATCTCAGAGCAGACGGGAAAAGAGTTCTTGTATAAGCATATCTGCACCTCCGCGGCCGTGCAGAACCGCTTCCGCTACGCCAGTGTCACCGCTGAGACCGACTGGGACCGCCTCACACAGGATCATCCATGGCTGCTGACGGAGGTGAGGCAGCTGGGACAGACTCAACCGGCTTCTGCTAGTCTTAGCTTCAGGTTGTTTCTTCTGCCGGCAAAGGAATACTAAAGTCACGAGGCTTGATTACGGCGCTGTCTGTCACTCAAACTCTGTGTACGTGATTTGCAGGACATAATATCATTACCATCACAGTGGCATGTGACCGTGTCTTTAGATGCATTGAGTGACTTTTATGATTTTGTGTGAATTGAAGTGTTCATATTATACACCACAATCAATTCTTAGCATACGCAGATACCACATATCTGTGAGGCTGAGTTTATCGCCATTAGCATACAGCTAAAAGAAGGATATGTTCTCCCTGGTTTGAACTATCATTGACTGTGTGTTTGCACTTGCACTTAAATTAATATTTACAAGAAAGTAATACTTTCACACCGAGAGCTTGTCATATTATTTGTAATGTGTTACCAGTATCAGCCTGTTATCAGTTGTTTGTCACACCAGTATTGATGCAAATCTGTGTCCTTTGTTTAATGTTGGGCTGATCATGTCTTCCACTTGCTTCTCTGTAGCGGCTGGTGGTAAAGCCAGATCAACTAATCAAACGGCGTGGGAAGCTCGGACTGGTGGGCCTCGACCTTGACCTGCAGGGTGTCCGAGAGTGGTTTAAAGCCCGCGTCATGAAAGAGACCACTGTGAGTAATCTCTCTCTATCTGTCTTGTTGGATACAAAGCGGCACAGCGTTGCAATTTTAAGACAATGAAAAAAAAATGATCCCAGAAGTCCAGCTGGAGTAACAGATCAAGGTTTATCAGACACCTAAATACTGCACTGTTGTTTATCAAACTTTGAAGAAGGATTTACTTCTCCGTAAAGTTGTTAGTTGTGACAGTCCGCAAGTAAAACAGTAGAAATATGCCGTTACGAAGTAATTTACCAGAAATATGTAATTTGACAGGCCAACACTGTCGGTCTCAACGCAGCTTTACTGGTCACTTAGCTGTCGTGTCTTCCAGACAAAGAACAGTCAGTCTTTTGTGAAGCACCAACAATTCTGTCTGTATCCTCTATTCAAAATAACATCATTTAATTTGCTTAGAATCTGCTCTGATGAATAACCAGCACTCACCATGCCAGTGTACCAGCTCACCAAGAACTTTGTTTTCTTTGGGGTTAATTTGTTCTTTTAATAATCTCTGGACTTTTAAACATTCTTTTATTTGTTTCTTGATTATTTGTCATCCGGTTTGATTTTTTATTTATTTATTTTTTTTTTTTTATATCCAACATGATGGAAATTTGGACATAACTACAGACAATAGACAACTTATTTAAACGACGAATATGCATTTTAGATACATTTAGCACACGGTCCCTGCTCCTCATTGTGATTTCACTGAATAATTAAGTCGTAAATTAAGGTAATAATACTCCAACAGGCTGACCCAATGTCGTAAATCGCGTGACTGGCATGTTGTCTTTTGTACATCTGAAGGGAATGCAAGCTACAGTTCCTCTTTACCCCCCCCCCCAGCATATGGACCTGTTAAGTGCAGAAGGTTGTTGTGTCCAGTGCCAGAGGCCATGGGCTTATGTTTAGATCTGCCAGGTGAAAGGTTATATAATGCCAGTGGAGGAGGGTGGTCTATTCTGGTCCACCGTGCATACAAACATGGTAGAACTGGCTTTTGCCTTTTCACGAGAAAGGGAATTTACGAGCCAGTCATGCCAAGTTGTTGCGTTTTTTTTTTTTTTTGTTTGTTTTTTAAAATGTGGTGTCCAAGGAACCTTGAACATTATTATTATTATTATTATTATTGTTGTTGTTGTGAATGCAATGTACTTGCTCCTCTTCCAAGTCTATAACTAGGTTAGACTAACCTGCTTGTGATTTGTCTTTGGTCTTGAATAGGTTGGAAAGGCAAGGGGTGTGCTGAAGAACTTCCTCATTGAGCCGTTTGTTCAACACCCACAGGTAATGTTAGCGAGTGTCATCAGCTTGTTTTGTCATTCTACATCATGTTTATGTTTGAAAGCCAACTCAAGTTTATTTGTGGAGCCTTTTAATCATAGCTAGACGCTAGACGCTAGCAAAGTGAACAAATAGTCGACCGTCTCAGCAGGTCAATGAAACCTCCACGGCCAGGATACAAACATTATTCTGTGTGTTGTATTTAGGTCAGTGTGCATGTGATTAGTTGGTTGATTCTCAGTTTTATAAAGTGAACAAACTGAATGGTGTTGCATTGTGTGTGATTTGTTTGTCACTCATGACTGCGGTAGTAAATGTGCCTGCATGAAGGTCGGCTCATCTTAAAATAAGGAACTGGATGTTCTTCAAATAAGCTTGTCGGCATTCTATAAATAAGTGAAACTACATGCTCTGCTCCTCGCAAAACTAAACGTGTTTGTGTATCCTTGTGTTTGGATCACCCAGGAGGAGGAGTTTTACGTGTGTATTTATGCCACGCGTGAAGGCGACTATGTGCTTTTCCACCACGAGGGAGGAGTGGAGGTGGGTGATGTGGACGCCAAGGCCCAGAGGCTGTTGGTTGCAGTGGATGAGAAGCTGAGTGAGAAGCAAGTCAAGGAGAAGCTCCTCGCTCACGTTCCTGATGAAAAGAAAGAGTATGGACTCATCCTTTTTTTTTTTTTAATTTAGTTGTTTTTATCTACACAGAAAGATCTACAGCAGTAAACTTCACTTTAATCAACTTCACCTCAGAGAGACTTTGATAAGTGCTCCCCTCATATTAGCCAGTTATTGTCACAAATGCATGGTGTTAACCAGCCATATTTTATACAATAATATATAGTTATTGTCCCGCATATGTCTGTAGAAACCTGGTTTTGTTGGGTTTTATTTGTTACTGTTGCCAAGATGTTCGTGCCAACTCGTCAAAGAGCCTCTCTATCTTCAGTGTGTTTTGCTGAGACCTTGAGCTGCGTTTCTTTTTAGATTTTTGTTTTGTTTTTCACTTTTCCAAATACCATCCCCCAGGGTGCAGAGAACATGCTGATCTCTCTCTTTTATGCTGCATAACATTTCTGTTCGACTAGTTTCTCACCAGCTCAACCCTTGGAAGTTAATTGTGATCTACTGTTATAAGACAGATATTTGTTTGGCAACTAAATATGTTTAAATGTGTTAAATTTGTGTTACATTTTATTTTCTGTGGTTTTCTAGTGAGCTTTGTCTTGTGCTGATTTTAATAAACTGTTTGTTTTCCTTCTTAAAGAGTCTTGGCCAGTTTTATAGTTGGCCTCTTCAACTTATACGAGGACCTCTACTTCACCTATCTTGAGATCAACCCTATCGGTACGTTTTTATAACTTCACACACACCGGTGCATATTTATATTCATTTCTACTTTATGACTCTCAGAAGCAGATCCAGTGTTCTCCCCTTGGGAATATAAGAAGTGTTTTATTACTATAACGTCAAGAGAATTGATTAAGTACTTTGAGGGGATCCATTATTCATTTATGGGAGCAACTTACTAATGTGTGCACTAATGTGTACAAGTTGTATCGATGGATAACACAACTTTTATTCTCTTAACCAGTCGTCACCAAAGATGGAGTGTACGTTCTCGACATGGCAGCCAAGATTGATGCCACAGCAGATTACATCTGCAAGGCTAAATGGGGTGATGTGGAGTTTCCACCGCCCTTTGGCAGAGAAGCATATCCTGAGGTGAGATCTGAACAATAAAGTGGGTTTTAGTCAGAAACTTAAGTGAATAAGTAGCTTGAATCTTGGTTTGTGCCTCCATCTTTGGCCTTTTTACCACCATTTGTCTATTGTAGGAGGCATACATAGCTGATCTGGATGCAAAGAGCGGTGCCAGTCTGAAGCTGACCCTGCTGAACCCTCGTGGCAGGATCTGGACCATGGTGGCTGGAGGAGGGGCTTCAGTAGTCTACAGGTAGGGTTTATATCGGGGCCTTTTGTAGCTAACAGAAGCTACTCAAAGAGCTTTGGTGGATGTAAGACATGCTGTATATTTAATATGCCAAATAAGATAACGGCTTTGTTAGACCTCAAATATACACACAATGTGTTTTTGGTGAGTTAAACTGAATGTAAACATAACTTTTGCTTGTTTACAAGAAAACCTATTTGATTAAAAGTACCGACCAGAATCAGGACGCAGTACTTAACTGTCCACCTTCACTCTTCTTTAGCGACACCATCTGTGACCTTGGCGGGGTGGATGAACTGGCAAACTATGGCGAGTACTCTGGCGCACCCAGCGAACAGCAGACCTACGACTACGCTAAAACCATCCTCTCTCTGATGACACGGGAGAAACATACACAAGGTTGGTACAGCAAACACTTTGTTGAGGCTTGTTTGCACAAACGAGCTCAAACTAAAGTTTGCTTTAAGCATGTAAACCAGTGTTGGGTCATTCCTCCGCGATGTGACCTGCTTGCTCTCCTTTAGTGTGTCACAGAGTCACTCACTGTCCACAGTCTGTTGCCAGCAGTAGACTTCATGGCCGTCACCAAACTGTTACTGAGGTGTCACATTTCACTCATAAACATATTCTTAACAGAACAACACTCTTTATGTATCCTGCAGGGAAAGTGCTGATCATCGGAGGAAGTATTGCCAACTTCACCAATGTAGCAGCCACATTCAAGGTAAAACACAATGTGTTTATCTTAAACACTATGAAAGTAAACAAGTCTAAATAGTATCACAGGCCTTCATTGTGTGATTTAGTCCACAAAATGTGTATTCATATCTTTTAATATAGAGGAGAAAACTAACTTCAAGACACTCTTTTGTTCTTTCTGAAGACATTAAATTACATTTTCTTTGTCGACTTAATGGCTGATGCACCCATGCAGGACTTTCTGAATAAATCAGTCTGTGAATCACTTACCTGACCTGGTTCTCACTCCTCAGGGTATTGTCAGGGCCATCAAAGACTACCAAGGTCCTCTGAAGGAGCACGAGGTCACAATCTTTGTTCGACGTGGCGGGCCCAACTACCAGGAGGGGCTGAGGGTCATGGGTGAAGTAGGTGAGTGAGATGAAGCTTAAGATCACAAAGAAGAGCCCAGTCTGAGAACAAAGGAGTAGAATGACTGGAGTATGTACCTTGTTACTTTGGAAATACCTGGCGTCAAGTCATTGTCAGGTGATTTCATTCGGACTACGCGTGACAGGAAAGAGGGATAATAATGTTGTTACACCGGATATATGAGCGCATGAATGCCAGTTTAAAAAAAACTTCCATCCAAGTCAAATTGTTGGAAACAAATTTAGATTAAGTTTGTTTAACTCTTTCTGCAGGGAAGACCACAGGTATCCCTATCCACGTGTTTGGTACCGAGACTCATATGACGGCCATTGTTGGAATGGCTCTGGGTCACCGGCCAATCCCTAACCAGCCCCCGATGGACGCACACACGGCCAACTTCCTCCTCAACGCCAGCAACAGCGCAGTGGTATTTTCATTCAGCTACCCACTAAGGGAAAACTAGGATGGTCTGCCTCTCTTCTACACACATTACAGATCTCATACTGCTTAAGTTGGCCACCACATTGTCATGTGATGTTGATCTAGTGACGTTCAAATTGTGAACAGCCCCTGTGAAATATCCTGTAAATATACTTATCTCATTTTAATGTTTGAGCGTCAAAGGAAATGATTAAATACCTGTCTTTAAATGCATTAACATTATAGATTGCACAAATATATGCAGCTTTTGTTCACATGTTGTAAAAGGCTTTGCACACTTACTTGTGTTACAATTTAGTCACGCATGTTCAAACACTAAGCTTTGAAAGGTTTGGAACTTGTTCGAGTAGCTCTATTGTATTTTATAGCATAACATGGTTTTCTTTTCACATATATATTTGTTAACTGTGGTCCTCATGTTCTCTTCAAAGCCTATGTTGACTGGCGATAAACTCATACATGACGTGTATACTAAAGATGTAAAAATGTTACTTTAAGAGGGAAACGGTTAGTTCCCTGCTAAAACATCTCATTGAAAGCCGCTGTAAGGCTTTGACAAACATAAATGTTTGTTTCCTTTACCAGACTCCAGCTACAACGAGGACCGCTTCATTCTCCGAACCCAGGACGTCTAGCGAGGTCAACCCGGCCAAAAAGTCTAAAGCAGATCTTCCAGCAGGTGATTAAGACGGCAGCACTCGCCTCACTACTGCGTATTATCAGCAACGCTCCATATATACTCATACACTTCTGCTTTTTTCATTTCACTTTTCTTTGCGTCCCGCATTCCTTCTTCCCTCCAAATGCTGCCGTTTTGCATTTTTTAATTTTCTCTCTATTTCTCCCACCTCCTCCTGTTTTGCTGCACAAACTGTCCACTCACCCTCGTCTTTCTCATGCTCATTTTTCTAAGACTCTCTTCATTCTATACTGTGGCCTCTGAAGAATATGGTCACAGGCGATTGGAAAGGTAAGTGATGGGTGTGCCATGCCCACACTGTGCTCGCCTGCTCACACACTCTACACTGGTCTGCCTCTTTCTCTTCTTACCCCTCGCCCTCCTCATCTAGGTGTGTGTGTGTGTGTGTGTGTGTGTGTGTGTGTGTGTGTGTGTGTG